TGGAAACTAGGACAACCTAGTAGATCGACTCTCCTAACTAGAACCTATTTGATGTAGCTAGAACACTGCAATGTACTATCCAGACTGTCCCTATGTGTCCAAGTCCACTGTATCCTATGGAAACTAGGACAACCTAGTAGATCGACTCTCCCTAACTAGAACCTATTTGATGTAGCTAGAACACTGCAATGTACTATCCAGACTGTCCCTATGTGTCCAAGTCCACTGTATCCTATGGAAACTAGGACAACCTAGTAGATCGACTCTCCTAACTAGAACCTATTTGATGTAGCTAGAACACTGCAATGTACTATCCAGACTGTCCCTATGTGTCCAAGTCCACTGTATCCTATGGAAATTAGGACAACCTAGTAGATCGACTCTCCTAACTAAAACCTATTTGATGTAGCTAGAACACTGCAATGTAGCATCCAGACTGTCCCTATGTGTCCAAGTCCACTGTATCCTATGGAAACTAGGACAACCTAGTAGATCGACTCTCCTAACTAGAACCTATTTGATGTAGCTAGAACGCTGCAATGTACCAGACTCCCTATGTGTCCAAGTCCAATGTAGCATCCTAGTATATATTTGTGTAGCTAGAACACTGCAATGTACCCATCCTGTCCCCATGGAAACTAGGACAACCTAGTAGATCGACTCTCCTAACTAGAACCTATTTGATGTAGCTAGAACACTGCAATGTAGCATCCAGACTGTCCCTATGTGTCCAAGTCCACTGTATCCTATGGAAACTAGGACAACCTAGTAGATCGACTCTCCTAACTAGAACCTATTTGATGTAGCTAGAACACTGCAATGTACTATCCAGACTGTCCCTATGTGTCCAAGTCCACTGTATCCTATGGAAACTAGGACAACCTAGTAGATCGACTCTCCTAACTAGAACCTATTTGATGTAGCTAGAACACTGCAATGTACTATCCAGACTATCCCTATGTGTCCAAGTCCACTGTATCCTAAAACTAGGACAACCTAGTAGATCGACTCTCCTAACTAGAACCTATTTGATGTAGCTAGAACACTGCAATGTACTATCCAGACTGTCCCTATGTGTCCAAGTCCACTGTATCCTATGGAAACTAGGACAACCTAGTAGATCGACTCTCCTAACTAGAACCTATTTGATGTGCAATGCTAGAACAAGTCCACTGCAAAACTGGACAACCTAGTAGATCTCCTATCCAGACTGTCCCAGACTGTCCCTGTGTCCAAGTCCACTGTATCCTATGGAAACTAGGACAACCTAGTAGATCGACTCTCCTAACTAGAACCTATTTGATGTAGCTAGAACACTGCAATGTACTATCCAGACTGTCCCTATGTGTCCAAGTCCACTGTATCCTATGGAAACTAGGACAACCTAGTAGATCGACTCTCCTAACTAGAACCTATTTGATGTAGCTAGAACACTGCAATGTACTATCCAGACTGTCCCTATGTGTCCAAGTCCACTGTATCCTATGGAAACTAGGACAACCTAGTAGATCGACTCTCCTAACTAGAACCTATTTGATGTAGCTAGAACACTGCAATGTACTATCCAGATCCTGTCCAACCCTAGTAGATCGACTCTCCTAACTAGTCCACTGCAATGTATCCAGACTGTCCCTATGTGTCCCAAGTCCACTGTATCCTATGGAAACTAGGACAACCCTAGTAGATCGACTCTCCTAACTAGAACCTATTTGATGTAGCTAGAACACTGCAATGTACTATCCAGACTGTCCCTATGTGTCCAAGTCCACTGTATCCTATGGAAACTAGGACAACCTAGTAGATCGACTCTCCTAACTAGAACCTATTTGATGTAGCTAGAACACTGCAATGTACTATCCAGACTGTCCCCCAAGTCCAGGAAACTAGGACAACCTAGTAGATCGACTCTCCTAACTAGAACCTATTTGATGTAAGCTAGAACACTGCAATGTACTATCCAGACTGTCCCTATGTGTCCAAGTCCACTGTATCCTATGGAAACTAGGACAACCTAGTAGATCGACTCTCCTAACTAGAACCTGATTTGATGTAGCTAGAACACTGCAATGTACTATCCAGACTGTCCCTATGTGTCCAAGTCCACTGTATCCTATGTAGGACAACCTAGTAGATCGACTCTCCTAACTAGAACCTGTGTAGCCACTGCAATGTACTATCCAGACTGTCCCTATGTGTCCAGTCCACTGTATCCTATGGAAACTAGGACAACCTAGTAGATCGACTCTCCTAACTAGAACCTATTTGATGTAGCTAGAACACTGCAATGTACTATCCAGACTGTCCCTATGTGTCCAAGTCCACTGTATCCTATGGAAACTAGGACAACCTAGTAGATCGACTCCCTAACTAGAACCTATTTGATGTAGCCCTAATTTGTCCCTATGCTCCAGAACCATCTCCTAACTAGAACCTGAATGTACTATCCAGACTGTCCCTATGTGTCCAAGTCCACTGTATCCTATGGAAACTAGGACAACCTAGTAGATCGACTCTCCTAACTAGAACCTATTTGATGTAGCTAGAACACTGCAATGTACTATCCAGACTGTCCCTATGTGTCCAAGTCCACTGTATCCTATGGAAACTAGGACAACCTAGTAGATCGACTCTCCTAACTAGAACCTATTTGATGTAGCTAGAACACTGCAATGTAGCATCCAGACTGTCCCTATGTGTCCAAGTCCACTGTATCCTATGGAAACTAGGAAACTAGGACAACCTAGTAGATCGATGTCTCCGCTGCAAATGTAGAACCCCTATGTCCAAGTCCACTGTATCCTATGGAAACTAGGATTTGACTGAACCTATTTGATGTAGAACAACTGTCCCTATGTGTCCAAGTCCACTGTATCCTATGGAAACTCGGACAACTCTCCAGAACCTATTTGATGTAGCCCTGCAATGTGCATCCAACTGTCCCTATGTGTCCAAGTCCACTGTATCCTATGGAAACTAGGACAACCTAGTAGATCGACTCTCCTAACTAGAACCTATTTGATGTAGCTAGAACACTGCAATGTACTATCCAGACTGTCCCTATGTGTCCAAGTCCACTGTATCCTATGGAAACTAGGACAACCTAGTAGATCGACTCTCCTAACTAGAACCTATTTGATGTAGCTAGAACACTGCAATGTAGCATCCAGACTGTCCCTATGTGTCCAAGTCCACTGTATCCTATGGAAACTAGGACAACCTAGTAGATCGACTCTCCTAACTAGAACCTATTTGATGTAGCTAGAACACTGCAATGTACTATCCAGACTGTCCCTAGTCCAAGTCCACTGGACAACCTAGTAATGTAACCTATTTGATGGAAGCATCCTGCAATGTACTATCCAGACTGTCCCTATGTGTCCAAGTCCACTGTATCCTATGGAAACTAGGACAACCTCCCCTATTTGATGTAGCTAGTGTCCACTCCAATGTACTATCCAGACTGGACCCTATGTGTCCAAGTCCACTAACTATCCTATTTGAAACTAGAACACTGTAGATGTACTCTCCTTCTAACTAGAACCTATTTGATGTAGCAGAACACTGCAATGTACTATCCAGACTGTCCCTATGTGTCCAAGTCCACTAGATCGATCCTATGGAAACTAGGACAACCTGCAATGTAGATCCAGACTGTCCCTAACTGTCCAACCTGTATTTGATGTCGCCAGAACACTGCAACTAGAACCTATCCAGACTGTCCCTGTCCCTATGTCCAAGTCCACTGTATCCTATGGAAACTAGGACAACCTAGTAGATCGACTCTCCTAACTAGAACCTATTTGATGTAGCTAGAACACTGCAATGTAGCATCCAGGCTTCTACTATCTGTCCACTCTATCTGCTTTTGATGTTCATTTTGGAACACATACCAAACAGATTGAGTAATGCCTAATTTACATTACCCAAATTAATTTCCTTATGATGTATTAAATAAAAAATAATGTACTTCATGAATTTAACTTTTCACTCTATAACTTTAACTTACGTAAATTATTCTGTCTTTGGTTTTTACCCCAAACACATCTATTTAAAATCAGATGTGTTTGGGGTAAACCCGAAGACAGAATAATAAGAAACAAATCAATCAATCAATCAATCAACATCCCAAGACTTCCCCATGTCATTTCAATTCTTCTAGAAATTTTGTTATAAATTTTCATTTCAAATATCAAAACCTATGGGTTTTCTGCAGTAACCTATAGAAATTATTTTGATAGCTATTGATCTGATTTGACTTAATCATTTTTAATTTAGAATTAAATATTTTTTAATCATTTCACCCCATGTCAATAAAACCATTAAGAGTCAAGAGTGTTAGAGAATATGAGAAAAAGACATTATTAAGGAGAGAGTACAATAAAAGAACAAGAATTAAAACGATAGAAGGTAATTATTAATATTGCATTTAAATTTTTGAAGATCAAAGTTGACTGGGAAGCAAGAAGTCAGAAGAGAGTTCCACAAACTCTCTTCTGAGACATTGCATTTTAAAAGTTTCATTTTTCTTAATCACTGATATTGGTGGAATTAATTTTATTATTAAAGTTATGTGTAATACCTATTACATCACTCCCATATAGAATTGATTTATTTGTTATTATTATGAGAAAAGAAATATGGAATTGACAATATATAAAATAATGAAAGTTTTTGTAAGGACCTGGTCATTTGAATAATTCCCTCACACTTCAATTAAGATTTCTACAGTGAAAATTGTTGACATACTCATAAAGTTCACATTCATTCTATGATTGAAAATATAATATATAGTAGCAACATTAATAATGTATCAGTATGCTAGTAATTGATGGCAAGTTATAAGAACAATATTAATTCACTAATAAGAAAAAAAATCACTACCAAATGTTGACTAATGATAAATGGGCACTTATCTTAATTTCTTAAATTACCATTTTTTGTCATTTTTTAATTACTTTTACCAGGATTGACTAATGATAATATTTATATACCTATTTCAGATTTCGTCTCATAATCATGACCATTGTGAACATAACACCCTCAATATTCACTTATGGAGCTGTGATGCTTGTATGTATACAAAATTTTACTTCTCACAGTATTTTAGATTTCTCAGTATATACAACTGACTGTATTATGAGTACTTTTATGCTGATGTAAAAGTATTATTATCCAGGTTAAAGTTATTACTCATCAAAGTGATAAAATCTTTGTTTCAGTTCAATTATAACCAAATTAAAGAACAACAAAGTAATGGGAAATTGATAAATATTGTTCTTGTAGAATTTCCAATAAATGGGAGTAAATGTTGTACTTATGTTAATAAGTTAAAAAAGAGAAGAAAGTACATGTGGATTCAGATGAATTCCTGTTTGGGCAAAGTGCAGTTAAATTAAACAAATATCCAGAAATTTTATAACTATAATAATAACAAATGATCCTAAGTAACCTTAAATTAACCATAAATCAGAAATACCACCAAGATCAACACTACAATTTTTTTCATTTGTACTCCATTCTGATCAAAATACTGAATAAAACTTATTTTATAACAGACCTATCTATGCAGGTGATTATTTCTTGTGGCTTTTATGATATATTTATTCTATCCCCTACAATGACTAACATTATGTCAGATATTATTATTATGTAAGTCTATGTTTGCACTATAAAACTGGTATTAACATTTCCATACACTTTTTAAATTTGGTGTTGCTTTGAATGTTTAACAATCAGCAGTAAAACACACACACACACACACACACATACACACACATATATATAGTGGACTGGGACAGCAGATCATTATTTAAACATATATTGTTAAATATAACAGACAATGAATGCTTATTATGTTTAATCTTAAGTCGTTCTAAACTTTGTATGTTTGCTTTAATTTTGGAAAAATAAAGACAAAAATTGTCCAACATTTGGATATTTGTTATTAAGTTGGTCCTTGATATTCACCATCAAAAATGATATTTTGTTATGTTGACATAGAAGATGTCATGATAACGGTCATGGAATAGCAGGCGCAGGTCTTAAATTCATGATGTGGTTCTATGACATCATACTACATGAATGACCAAAATATTAACAAAAGAATCATGTGTCTAGATGCAGTATAATGTGTTGTGACTAGTTTGAAATGTAATTATGTTGAGTGTGGGTTGCTTTGTTTTAAAGCAACCCATACTCAGCAATTGGCCTCCAATATCTAAAGGTTCTTTTTACTGTGTGTATGTGTGAGTATTATTGTGTTATCAACTAATATCTGTATCTCTATCTATAAAAGGCAGAATGTGTGTGTGTGTGTGTGTGTGTGTGTGTAACGAATGCACGTCCGCAATTTTTGATGGATTTACACCAAAATTTACATGCACATGCTCCAAGTTAGTGGGAAGGCCAAGACTGACTTTGCATTTCCCAAATTCCATCGATAGTGGAAATAATTGATTTTTTCATGCTTCTACGGCAGTTTTCATGTAGTTTGCAGCCATTTTCTACTGGTCAGAGTGAGAGCTGGCTGCCACAAATAGGCAAGAAGATTCTATTGGCAGCGTAAGAGAGCCAACAGCTGACTGACACGAATGTTAACTAGCATGCTAGCATGCAAAAAAATCGATAGCTGCATTCATCACAAGTAGGAAAAATTTAAATCTGCATGGCACTTTACTACAATTGGCTCATTCGCTTGCTTAAACTCAATGTTGATTCTGATTCCGCAGAACTGGGTTGGGTGTGAAAAAGTATTTTATTTGTTGTTAACATTCTTTTTTCATTCGGTTTTTCCAGTTACGAGTCCTTTTTTAAAGCTGATCATTTTGTGTTCATTTTGTTTAGTTCTTTTTTAATAACAGATTTAATGTTTAGTACAGAGCTTAGAAAAAATTTGCAGTGTGAGATAGGCAAGAAGTAAGGCATGTAGCAACATCAGCACGGCAAAGGGAATCCTTTAAAGGCAATGAAGGGCAAAAATATTTTAAGTCAAGTGATAGCGATTGCTCTATGAGTTGTATGATTTTTGAATAAAGCACGGGCAACGCCAGGCTATGCTGTTAGTCTGTCTATATTTCTGAGATGAAGTATTATGTACACTATTTACATTATTTGGACTATTGTCCTCATCTTTGTCGCCGTTGTACGCTCCTGCCTTCTTCAGGTAGTTGGAATGTCAAACTGAACCCTTTATTTTGCTCACTGGGGTAGACTGTTCTAGTTCCATGTGCCATGTTTAATGGATGTCAGTTATCAGTTATCTCCTGTTAATTCCCCTCTCCAAATTCTCCACTGGCTTAACCAGGTATTGAACTCACACTCTTTGGGTTTGGGTTTTGTCACTATCCAACCAGATGGTGAGCTTGAATGTGGTGCGTTTGTTCACCAATGTACCCACGGACGAGGCTCTCTCAGTAGTCAGAGACAGATTGGCCTCTGACTCATTCCTAGAAGAATGGACCAGTATTCCAATAGATAATCTGATGGAGATGTTGACTTTCTGTACACAAACAACACATTTTAGAAACAGGAAACATACATACCAACAGGATGAGGGCTTAGCAATGGGCTTGCCATTATCACCAGCAATGGTGAATATATACATGGAATACTTTGAGGAAATGGCATTAGAATCTATATCTCTAAAGCCAACTCTATGGTTAAGGTACATAGATGACACCTTCATACTCTGGCCACACCACGAAGATGTTCAAGTTCTACTGGACCATGTGAACTCAATAAGACCTTCGATACAGTTCACAATGGAGAAAGAGAGTAACAACACATTCCAATTCCTGGATGTCATAATATCTCGAACAGAGCATGGGTTCAAAACATCCGTATACCATAAACTGACATTCACTGGACAGTACCTCAATTTCAACTCCCACTATCCATACAGCATAAAGAAAGGGATCGTCCACTGCTTACAACACCGAGCAAAAGTCATAAGTGGCAACCCAGAGACATTAGATAAAGAATTGGTCAGTATAAGTAGTACCCTACAACGTAACAACTACCCTGGGTACATGGCAGCAGCACCCCAAAACTGGGATAGGCAGGTACAAGAGGAGGAGGAGGACAACAACACTCAGAAAACAGTCTGCCTGCCTTATGTGAAGGGGTTATCAGAGAAAATACAAAGGATCTGTGGACCATATAACATCAGGACAACTTTCAAATGCTGGACGACACTTCGCAGATATCTCTCTCGAGTAAGACCCCTCCCCTCCCCATAGAGGAGAACATGACTAAAGACTGTGTGTACCTTATCCCATGCAGCTTCCGAAAGAAATATAAAGGGGAGACAGGCCGCCCCCTTAAGGTAAGACTTCAAGGACACTAGAAAGCTGTAACATGAGGGGAAGTAGAAAAATCATGCATTCTAAATTGTATTTTCTCATCTTGAAAATCAGTATTATAAAAATTGGTTAATTTCCTTTTCATGAGGTCTAAAATAATTCGATATTTTTAAATACATATGATCACTGTTATTTATTAAAGTTTGATTTAAGCCTAATAATAATTTGTACCAGGTCATCCCATAAGTTCTGTCCGAATTTTAACTTTTTGTTAAAATGAATGAAATTTAAAGAGTATTTTATAATGTCGAATGGAGCTGAACATTATTTTTATATTTAGATGCATTTAAACTGATCAAATTTTATTTCAGAGAATAATAAAAATTAAATTTTGTTTGATTAAAACCCTGCTAACATGGAAGTACCCAAGAATCATTTGAGGCACATGTTATAGACAAGCGTATGGTTGGAAGAAAGAAATACGACAACAGCAGAAATAGATTTACGTGGTTTATTCAACAGGAACATGTGGGTTTGGGACAGCTACCTTGTGGTAAAGTTCATAAGCCGGCTTCGGATCTAGGTCAATCTCTCATAGTAGTTCACACATGTTGACGGTGGTTGATGCTCCCCTGCTGCTGATCGCTCTGCCTGACCGTGACAGGTCTCCTTTGTGGCCACCTGTTGACTGCCGTTGAACTTCCGTGTGACCCCTTTTATAGCGTTTTTTTATGGCTTAACAGGCTTGAAAAACGAAGCGAGTATAATTAGGAGCGAAGCATTTTTATTGGACGAAAAATAGAACACTTTAAATATTATTTTATTTTTCGACCAGAACACGTGTGTCGGGAACATTTGTAAATGAAGATAATGGTCATTTTGTGACGGGGTTTTGTCCCGTTCACATCCGGTTCTCACTCTTGAGTATTTGCCTGTAAATCAGCCGAGATATGTCTTATTTTATTTTATGGAGAGGAATGTGTGAATGAAAGAACTTGCAGAAGATGGTTTGCAAAATTCAGAGGTGGAGATTTCACCCTTGAAGATGAAGATCGAACCGGACATCCAGTTGAGTTTGATGAAAAGCTTCTTGAAGCAGCCCTTGAAGAAAATCCTGCTTTATCAGTTGAGGAATTGGCTGTGGTTCTCAATTCAAACAATACATCTGTTCATCGTCATCTTCAACAACTTGGAAAAGTTCCTAAACTTGGAAAATGGGTGCCCCATGATTTGTCTGAAAACAACCTCAAATCCCGAGTTGACATCTGGTCTTCTCTTCATTCTTGCCAACTTGTTTCACCATTTTTGGATAGACTTGTGACTGGCGACGAAAAATGGATCTTTTATCGAAATATTAAGCATTGTAGACAGTGGCTTGGTAAAGGGGAAGAACCCCAGCCACAGCCGAGAAGGGAACTTCATGGGCAAAAGGTTCTTCTTTCAATCTGGTGGGATCGCCAAGGAATAATCCACTTTGAATTCTTACCACCTAATGCAACAATTAATGCTCAATTATACTGTCAGCAATTAGAGCGTTTGAAACAAGCTTTGAGGAAAAAAAAACCTGCTCTAGTGAATTGAAAAGAGGTGATGTTTCATCAGGACAATGCGCGACCCCACACAGCAAGAATCACGTCACAAAAGATCGAAGAACTTTGTTGGGAGAAAATTCCTCATCCACCTTATTCTCCTGATCTTGCTCCTTCATACTACCATTTGTTTTGTAGCTTACAGAATCATTTGGAAGAAACAGCTTTTGTAACACAGGAAGAGGTTAAAACTGACATTTGTGAGTTCTTTGAATCAAAGCCAAAAGAATTTTACAGTAATGGAATTAGTAAGCTTGTTAATAAATGGAAGGAAGTCATAGATAATCAGGGAAAATATATTGTTGATTGAATCTCTAATTAAATGTAACATTTGGTCGCTTGTTTTCTTTATTCAAAATTCAGACAGAACTTATAGGATGGCCTGATATATAACATTTATTTGCCCAATACATGTATGTATTCTTTGTCAGGAACTTGTTTTTTTTGGTTATTTGATCCTGTTGTTTCAATACAGTTATTTCATTTTTAGATGATTCAAAATCTCATGCTCTTCTCTTATTAAAGAAAGAAATATTTTTATGTTATAGGATTTTACAGGCCAGCAGTAGAAAAACTGCTTTATATTGGTTAAATATTTAAAGTTATCTAAGAGAAATATGTATAACTATGAGATTGTGCTGAAAAGTTCTTGGCCTCATCCATTCCTGAAAATCTGATTTTTTTAAACCCCTCTTGATCAGGCTGAAAACTTTTCAACATACCTCAAATCACATAGAAAAGCTCAGACAGAAAAAGGAGGTTGGAAATTTTAAAAAAGTTTCCTTACCAATATTCTAAACAATTACCTAAAAATTATAACTTTATAATAATGGTATTTTTCTGATGAAAATTAGGATGGCAAAATCAACTTTTATCAAACAATAGCCTTTGGGTAAATTAAATAGGGACCAATTTAAATCTGAGAAGTGTCAAAATTGAAACAAAGAAACTGTGTCAGAAAAAGAATGATGTTAAATGATTTAGAAGAATACATCATGTCTGCATAAAGTGTTTTTATGGTATTTCCCTAAGCAAAAGACAAAAGAGAATTGTGTCAACAACAAAAGATAGAGTAGAATAAAAGCAAACAGTTTTAGCAAGGAGAAGAAATGAAATTTGAGTTGTGAGGAAAAAGCCAAAAGAAATAAAAGAAAAAAAACTTATTATCGATTAAAGACATAATCATCATCATCATTATTAGAAGCATCAGAGAACAAGAGAAAGTAATTCCCTGAATAATAAGTGCATCAAAACATTGATTTTGCATCTAAGAGCATATTAAAAATAAAGTTTATATTCAATATTACAATTTTTTTTTGAAAAATGATAAATATTTTAATAGCTTGTTCTTAAGAAAACATTTCTTTTTACATCAGTAAATTTAAAAGCAGTCTTTCATAACAAGATGTTTATGCTACAATTTATTTTAAAGTTATTTCTTGCAGGTATTTTATTATTTCTATGCAGTAATTGGAATGGAAATATTCCATGGTCTAATCCAATTCCATGGCTATAATATGACATTCACAGAACTAAACAATTACAGTTTTTGTGGAAATGCTAAGCTGAGAAATTCTAATTTCTATCATGACCACTACTGCAGTAATAATTTCAATGATATTTTAAAATCATTTGTTATTCTGTTTGAGTTAACAGTGGTAAATCAATGGCATGATATCCTTTGTTTCAGAATTCATTTGAATAGTAAATCATTTTAAGAAATAAAATATATTGTTGCTTAGGAGTTAACTTCTTTTTTTGATAATCTTATTTTATATAAACTATTTCAACTTTATATTGCAGTTTTACAAGCATCTTTTATTAATACATTTTCTTTCAGCCTAACTGAAAAATGATACATAATTATTCATATTTTGATGAAAAGTACCTTTACTTATTTGCCTGCTTATATTGTTTTATATAGAATTCATTATATCAGTTCAAACTTTAATATCTTTAATTTGTTGAAGAATACTTTGCCTCTAGTGCACTTAATTTGATAATACTTGGCAATTATTATAGTATTCATCATATTTTAAGATTTTTATTGAATCTTTCCTCACCCAAATGAAAACATCTTCCTTGACAATGATACTATTAACATCTGGATTTGTTCTTGTCACCCACCCAGCTGCACGCCTCTACTTCTTGACATTCCATATCTGTTGTGTTGTCATTGTCCTCAAGTAAGTGATTTCTCATTGATGAACTACTTTTTTCTGATTTTATTACATTTATTTTATTTCTCAAGAAGAAACTCAACCAAAAGTGAAATTACTAACAACATTTGAAGTCAGCAGAAGACAAATAAACTGGGTATTGATTGTTATTGGAAATAGCTGTCTTGATACTCACCACTAAAGTCTTCACATCTATTACAATAGGGCAGATTGATTTTTCATTTTCTTTATAAAAATCAATATTGAAACACTGCAAAAGCTGGGGTTTGATGTAATAAGTACTGATACCAAAAATTAGATTTCAAGCTATTACCAATTTTTGAGCATTTAGTTTTAAATATTATCTGAAAAATGTGCAGAAATTAATCATTTCTGCAGGTTTTTGCAAACAAACTGACTTCAAAATTTTGCTATTTCAATTATTCAGTCTTTATCCACACATGGTACAGTGGATAAAGGCTGAATAATGTAAATAATGTACATAATACCTCATCTCAGAAATATAGACAGATACTCAATGTATTGAATACAAAAAATTACAACTTTATTTGGATTTATTCTTTAAATAGTAAAAACCTGCAGAAATTAGATATTTCTGTACATTTTTCAGATATTTAAAGCTAAATACTCAAATATTGGTAATAGTTATGAATCTAATTTTTGATATCAGTACTTATCTCATCTAATTCCAGCTGTTGTATTAAGTGCAATGTTGATTTTCTAAAAAAAGGGAAAAATCAACCCGTTGTAATGAAGAGTGTTTGAGATTTTCAATATAATTATAATAAAAAATAATGGCAAACATTTATAATTATGAAAAATTAGATAATATCCATCAAAAGAAAGTTGTGGAACAAGATTCTTAAACAAAATATTTTTATTTTACTACTTAAAATGAAGAAATTTCTTGTTTTTATGAAGTTTTATTTCCCACTGAAAAATAACTAAAACTATATTATATATAAGAAAAAAGGAATAGCTTTCTATTGCTGGCCATAATACATTGTATTTAGTCTCCATTTTTGTCTTTATAAAATGAATATTTTTATATTATTCATAATTTTGATTTATTTTTCTATGATGTATTGAGAACGAGGCAAATGTTACAATTTGAAAACATTTTATTAAATGACGTTTACACATTTGTTTTCCATAGAGGTACAGAATATTTTGACAGAGTTACATCTTTTACTGATCACCAGAATTCAATTCCAATACTCTAATTTTGAACCTAGACTTAATCTTTAAACTTGTTTCCCCCACAAAATGCTAATGATTTAGGAAAAAACATATTGTGTCATTGTTTAACATGTCAAACTCCAAATTTCAAATTGAATGCAATACCACAATACCAAAAGCAACCTGCACTGTGGTTACAATTCTAAGATGTATTTCTGATTAGATTTTCTTCACTTTGTGAGTGGACATAAGTCATATTTCTCAGTTCTAAATAGGTGTGTCAACTTGGTTATGACTCCATTGCACATTTGAGATACAATTTATTTTGGACAGCCACAATGAGAAAAGGCAACATGGAGTTGGAATTGAAATACACAAATCACCAGATAGTCTAATAGAGTCAGAAAGATTGAAGGCTGCCAACATTGTTATTCATGGTGTTATAAGCAGTGCATAGTTGTTAAGAAAAGAACAAACAAGGATTTAATTTTCAACAAGAATGTATTGACCGATTTTCAGAATATATACAGCCAACAATGAAATTACTTATACACTCATCAGTTTTGAATATTTTTTATCCATTCCTCAGAAACTAATGCCTGTATGATGCCAAGATTTTGCCAGTGTGTTCTTTGATGTTCTTGATGCTAAGATTTTTACATGTTAATAAGCACAAAGAAGGGAATATAAAACTCAATTTTCAGAACAATACATTAAATACAACAAATTTGACAGGCAAATTATGCTAAATAGGAAAAGTCTTATTATTCGTACAGTAGAAAATATTGCTTTAAATTGATTAATTCATGTAAGTATAAGTAATTTACATAATTATCTTATCGGTGAAGCCTTCTAGACTATTTATTCAGTAAAATATTTGTGATAATTCCAGCAAAGAACATCATGTGGTGCATACAGTGTCACTATTGTTATTCTTAAGTTAACAACACAATAGGGAAGACAATGGAGCTTAGTGTTGACTTGAGACAGAGAATTCTTAACTTCCACAAGTCAGAAAATAGTTACAAACTATTTCAAACCAGTTAGCTATCCCTAGATTTATGGTACAGGCCATTATAAAGAAGTTTAATCAGTTTAACATGACAGAGAATTTGCTTGGGTGTGGAAGAAAACCCAAATCATCACTGAGAACTGCATGAAAACTGTGTCATGAGGTTAATATAAACCCAATAGAGACATTGCCAAAAGTTTGGATACGATGGGTATCAGCGTAAGTAATTGTACAATACAATATTGTTTAAATATAAATAGGCTGTATGGAAACCAACCACTGTGAACTCCTCTTCACAAACCATGTCAAATTGCTACTTGGTTTAATTTTGCCAAAACGTTCCTGGACAAATAAAATTGCTTTTCGGAGCAAGTACTATGGAGTGATGAAACAATAATTAAGCTTTTTGGACATAATGTTGTACAGAAGATCTGGCAACATTAAAACATGGAGGTGGCTTGATGATGCTTTGGGATTGTTTTAGATCAAGGGGGACTGGAAAATTACTTGCAATAAGAGGAATAATAAAATATGCAGACTATATCAAAATTCTGGATAAAAATCTACAACTATCAGTGAAAAATCTTCATCTAAGTTGGTGATTTACTTTCCAGCAAGATAATGATCCCAAACATACGTCTAAATCGGTGCCTGCATGGCTTCAGAAAAAGATTACAGTTCTGCCATGGTCTTCAATGACTCCTGACTTGAATCCTATTGAAAATCTATGGCAAAAATTGAAAGTTTGAATAAATCGTCAGTACTAAAAAAAACTTCAGGAATTAGAATGTGTAATCATTGAAGAATGGAAGAAAATCACAGAAAAGACTTATTCAAATCTCACCAAAACTTTAGAAAATGATCACAGCACGTTATGAAGATGAGAGGCCATACTATTGATTATTAATATTGTGAAAATTGTTCAATTTTTTCTATTTTGTCATTTCCTATTTTGCATAATTCACCTGTCAAATTTGTTGTGTTTAACCTACTGTTCTGAAAATTGAGTTTTATATTCATTTTTTTGTGCTTATTAACATGTAAAAATCTTGGCATCATGAGTTCCTGAGTTATAAGCAGTTGGTAGCATGAGTTAGGTGTCATTGGCAGGGTTGATCCTGTTGTTGGTAAAGCATGTAGTTAACAGATTTGTTGGTTTAGATGACTGAGGTCACAGTGTGATAGTGAAGCTGTGAATCTTGTTGCCATTACAGTGGGTATTTAAGGAAGTTGATTTAAAGGAAGGTGAGCCTAAGTAAGGCCTTGAATTAGTGAATTTGGTGGGTCAGTTGAGCGAGATCTGGAGTGAGTGAAACCATGAATCATACTTTGCTGATACAAAGGGTGTGAGCAAAATGTCTCTGTACACATGGTTTGAGTGCTTGGAGGAGGTTAGGTCTCCAGTGGATATTTGTGATGGGTTAGTTGATTGAAAATAGTGACCTTGAAAACCTGATGGCTTGTCAGGCAGTTTCTGTGTGTAAAGAGTTGGGTGAAGTCATGAATCTGGGTGCTGTTACATTGGATTCACTGAAGTCCTAGTGGTGATGATGAGAGGGGCAGTCATAGTAGTGACATTGAGTGCCCACTGTTATTGAGAGTTTGCTGTTGTCAACAGCTGGCCAGTCACCTAGGTAATGTATCCATTGTTTTTGAGGGATTTTCTTTTAAGCAAATTTGGTCATGCCCAGACTCATCTTTTTTCTTTGGGGGCAACATTTGTATTTGGTTTCAGATTTCCTCTTTTTGGGAAACTACTTTCTAGTAGTTTACCAAAAAGAGGTAAAAGGCTAATAGGCTGATAGTTGGAAAGATTGGATGGTTCACCTGAGTTCTTAAAAACTGGAACAGCAAATGATGATTTTCAAAAGGCTTGGAAACAAAAGGTAGTGAGACATTTATTATAGAGTTTAGAGAGAACAGGAAACAGTTTGAGAGCACACTTCTTAAGGCCTACTACAGAGATACCATCAGGTCCACATGCTTTGTGGGGATCCAGATTAGCAATGGTAGCAGGAACCATGGAAGGGCTTATATACATATTTAGCAGAAACAATAGAAGCGGTTATATGCAAATCAAGCAACAGAGAATCAGTTCTAAGTGAGAAGTTAGTCAAGGATACTCCTGATGAGTTAAGAGTAGAGTTTAAGGAGAATTTATGTGTGAAACATTCAGCTTTATCAGCAGAAGAGGTTAACTCCTCAAATTAATTGAAGAGAGGAGGAATAGAAAACTTACTTTTACTTAATGCATTATGACAGATCCGCCAGTAATCACGAAAGCTAAATTTGTTACATGCAATATGGTGCCTCATTTTCTCAGCAAACAAAGACTTAGCTCCATTGATGAGACATTTGCATTTATTATATGCAACCCCAAATAGGCATCTGTCATGATGGTATAGCCAGAAATAGTGGTTTCTGTAGACTATAGCAGCTGTCCTGAGAAGAATGAGATTTCAGCTGATATTTCCTAGAAGGAATGAAAGCATCCATTAATGGTGCAGTTCTCAATTTGAAGGTTAAAAATGTCAGTCCAATGGGTGCCGTGAAGAAAATAATGGAGTGAGTCCCAATCAGTATGCTGGAAAGAGGTCTTATGAATAGGAGGTTCCTGTTTAATAGACAATTGGAAGGAAATATCAATAGATACTACACAGTGATCTCAGTATCCAAGAGGACAGTGTTGTGAAGCTTGGCAAGAGTGAGGAACAGAGAAAAGAAATATATCAAGTAAAGAAGACTGTTGCTTGAATTTGCTAGGGAGATGAGTAGGAAAATCCATGATTTGAGGAGGGGATTGAGTAAAGGGAAA